GAGATAGGTCATGGCCTGGGTCAAGGTCAAGTGCTTTGTGGTCATGTGATGGTTGTGCATATAATGTGGTAGTCTTTTCTGCATATACAATCCAAAACTTTACAAACATACGAACAAACACGCATTAGTTACGAAAAATAGCAAACAATGACCTGACTACAGGTCAATGACCTCGCATGTTCTGAAAAGTCTGAAATATACGAAATGTAGGTACTGTCATGTCATATTGCTATAACAGCTTTAGACAACGGCAAATGGCTCAGAAACAAGTTGTGTGTGGTCAATTTTTTAAAAGGGTAATCTTTTTGACCTGACTTAGGTCACTGATCTTGGTGGATAAAAACTTCACATGAGCACAAAACATGACAAATTGATAGATGAACAAGTACTAAAAAATCGTATCACCGCGAGCGCTCATGCTTAACCTGTGCTCGAAAAGCCGTGGGCGGGGAAGTCAACTCCCCGGCCGGGCACGGGTTAAGCAATCAGCAGCTCAGGTGACTGATTAGGACGGGCCAAACTAACAGTCGGCACAGCTCACAATCATCTCAATAGTCGCTCCGCAAAGCGGGTGGCCATTCTGTGCCTATATACTATTTACCTAGGGTGCGTTTGTCTGTCTGTCTGTCCCGTTTTGCGTTGCATTATCTGCGGGCCAAGCAAATGACAGCAGATTTGCAGAAGCACGTTCTTTATGTCACGTGCGCAGAAGCGACCTAGATAGATCACCGTTTTCAACCATTTGTCATACGTAGTTCATGTTTTATGCCATATCTTGGAGGCTAGAGCGGATCCAAGTGCGAATAGGATTTCAAAGCGTCGATTGAAATACCGTCTGTAATTTATGTGATCAACGTGAGTTCGTGCGATGCTTGGTTGCGCCAGTAATCTTCGGGTAAGCCGGGAACGACGGCATTTCGAAAAACGGCGCCGAATACAACACGCTGCCGTCGAAAATGGAGCCAGAATCATAGCAAAATTTCCATCGCTGCATGCACCGATTAATTTCTTGTATTTTATCACCCATTAGTTTGTCATTCTGAGCACTATACCATTCAAACATGTGCGTCATTTATAGGCTTTCAGTTTCACATTTTCTCGAAGTCAAAATCCTATCGGCCGATGGCTTAATCGACGCTGGTGAGCATTTCAAGTGAAAACGACAAAGCGTGCACGCGCCGCATGTTGCCGTCGTCTGGTAGCAGTCATCCATTCAATCCTTTGTTGCGCAGATGTAGCGAGAAAGGTGGGCCACCGTGGCGATGCAATGCACTGCCCAAACTCCTTGCCTTGAGAAACGTCAGAGAAACCATACATGTCAAAAACATGTTGAGTAAAGAAGAATTTACAACAGGTGCGATGAGAGAGCCCAAGAAATGCATTTTTCAGCGATGCTTACTGTTGCGGCAAAACAACACTCCCAGTGATTTCTCGAGTGCGTTTCGGAGATTCTCAAGAGTCTGACAACACAGAAACATTGCAGCAGCATTGACCCGTGGCAGTAGCAAAATTGGGGAAATGTTGTATTTGCAGTAATATCAAGTGCAATTTTCTTGAACCTCTGAAATGCATACAACGCTCCAATAACAACGCTCCAATCGCAGTGGAGATATGGAGAGCAGGATTCAAAAGCTGTACAATCACTGATTTCGTCTCAGTAAGCAGATTGTGGGCAAAACAAGATCGTGGGCAACGTGGAAAATTTTGTGTGAACTTAGCAAGTCGTAAATGTTACATATATGTCACATGTGACGTGTGAAATACGACGCATTGTACTAACTATACGGAGGGAAATTTTGGTCTTGTAGATTTAACCGGATGGGATTGGAATTTGTTAAAAAGCTGATCAATAGCTTGCTTGGACTGACATTTGGCGGATGGGGTTGAACTAAATGCCGAAAACATAGTTCATAAAGGTCAGTACTTTGAATGTCTTCACGTGTTTCCGAATGAGTGTTTTCGAATGGTTCATGGCCGTGTTCGTGCCTGTTTTAAGGTATGCCATTGTTTAAAGGTGTTGCGAAGATCATTCGCAGCCATCCTCTGTTATACTAACACCAAGCGTTATGCCTTTGAGCTGGCCTGACAACACATTCATGGAAAAAGCAATTGATACCACATTCACTGCTTTGCATTCCTGGCACTGTAAGCCCAGGCCTAGCACAATCTAACTCTGCATGATTACCAGGCCCGCATCAACGGGCAACCGAAACAGATCCCAGGATGCCAAATAGCGCGGCAAATCAATGGGTCGTCGTCGCGTGCGATTTCTAGCCCCCCCCCCCCCCCGAATGGTGGCCACACAGTCCAATTGGCGGGCGCGGGGAGAGGGGAGGGGGGGGGGGGGTCATCGGGCCGGCGGCGGCCAATCGAACGACCCGGTCAGGTGTTTGCCGATCACTCCGGTCGATACCGAGAGCTGATGATCCCCGGCCACAAAACGCCGGTCAAACAGCACGTACTGGGCGGCGCCACCGAACGGCCGACGGCGATCCAGCGCGCCCGTCTGACGTCACGCGTCGCGCAGGCGGTTCAAACGCCCCGCTTTTTCGCCGCCCCGCGGCTTCTCGATTGATGGCTTCTAGCCGTTGCATTCTGATGTAATTCGGTGCTAATTGGTCTTGATCGCTGTAAGTCAACAAGAGGCTACGCAGCACTAATCTCGCGTAAGCGGCGAAACAGCGACTGGGGTTGGATGAGAATCTCGGGTGAGACAACGAGTGATTCAGTCAGAGGCCAGGTGGTGATGAGCGTACCCCGTCTAAGTGCAGTGGTTAACGCGTTTGGTTACGGGGTTCGATTCCCTACAGTGTCCGCGCTTCCGCCAGGGCGAGAGGCAAGTGACACCGTATAGTCTAAGTAGCTGAGTGCGCCGTTAAGTCTCAATGACGACCATGAACAAGGGGAGAGTACGATTGGCGGTGTTAAAGAAAACCAGAGAGAGCGGATACAGCACGCCGTCCGTAGGGAATGTGTGTGATACCATTTCCCGTCGACTCGCTCATGGTGGTGAGCCCCACCTCTCAGCACCATCATTTAGCTGCGTCGACCGCTGCGCGTTGTTTGCCATTGACGCGCTCTGTTGGTAAGCCTGCGTGCTACGCAATACACATAGCAGCACATGTAGATATGTGTGATAACGTGCAGAGTCGTGCAGAGCTAGGGGCTGGTTTGGCGACATTGTTGTCCAGCTAGGGGCTGGTTTGGCGACATTGATGTCCAGCTAGGGGCTGGTTTGACGGCATTGTTGTCCATGCTTGATAAGTTCGGTGAAGGAAGCTATGTTCTATTCATCATCTTCTTTAGTGCTAAGTTTCGTCTAAGAAATGCTCCACCCATGGAAAGGCTTTGTTTTGCACAACCACTGTGGACGAGGCAATGTAAATAATCAGCACATGATGCCCGTGCTTACTAAGCATATGTTGGGTATTTGGGGTGCGATGGTCAGGCCTCAGTTTTCAGAGGTTTAGAGAACATGTGAAATAAAATTGAGTTGCCATTGAGCACTGATAAATAGAGCATTCCCTAGTTCAATCGTCACCACCCTTAAGTACCGATGATTGGGAACAGGCTTCTGTATGACTGATCACTGGAAATGGGTTTTTATTATATGAATTGATGTGAGCCAGCAACTACCCATGGTGTAGTAATGCACAAGCTGTATGTAGCTGTGTTTCCAAATGAAACCAAATCTAGAGGGAAATCGCCGTGTCATGCTGAGCCAGTTTATTAGTATTTATTGCACACCATTCTGTTTTCACCCAGGACAGGTGCTGCAGGAAATGGCACCGCCAATATTTCACTTTGAAAGCGTCTGGGACGCAACTTGCATGAACATAGGATGTAATATGTTTGCAGCAAGTGTTGTGGTAGCTACACATATTTCTCTTGCTCAGCTGTATTTTGATGTTTCTGCGAAGAACGCTACTTGACCAAACGGTTTTGCGCTATCTTTTATTCATGGCATACCCCACCCAAAACTTCTTGCCAGAGTGACTGAAAGATACATTATTTCTTGCTCACATTTCACTGCTAAGCTCTTTTATTCTCTTTGCGGGTGTTGCGCACTGTTTCATCGTGCCACTTCAGCAGTTTTCCTTTCAATAAGTAATGATCCTAAGGTCAGCATTATTATCTACGACACATTTACTTGGGTTGATTGCACTGCCAAATTAATCAAGAATTCATCAAAGTTAAGCTCTGTCGTATGCTAGTTCTTGGCTTTGAGAAACCCGTGCAAGATTGCTTGCATGTATTTTTGTTGTATATTGTACATTTAATGTGCATTTTTTGACTTTCGTAGATTATAGCTGCAAATTATACATTTCTGCCTTGAGAAACTGGATCATATCATTATACACCAAAAACGTACGATTTACGCCAAAAATATACGAATTTATGTTCTGAGAAACTGCTAACGAACGCTGTCTAATGGAAATGTATGGACAAAATTTATGCTATGAAAGAATTTTGGCTCGTCTAACTTTTGACCCGGCCCTACATTGCTTTGTGTGAGCTCTGAGTGAGGAGCCACAGATGACACAAATGGCCTCGTGCCGTATGATTGTTTCGAGATGGCAGTTAAAATGACACCTCAAGTCGGTACAATACACACGTCTACATGAAAGAGATAGGGCCCGCACGCCTGCGAGTGAATTTCTGCGGCATGGCGGGAGAGGCAGCATATTAAACGTCAAAGAGAAAAAAGTCTGCGCCTATATCGGTCAAACCCCCAAGAGGCTGTTTGTGAGATTTAATGTGACACCGCCAGGTAATAATAGAGATGCACTTCACGCTCAGGTAATGGTACGTCCATGGTTCGTGACTATGTGACTATAGCCGAGGCGCCATAAATTCCACTCAGGATATAAGTTTTAACCAAGAATGTTTAATAAGTCAAGGACTTTAGCTGAAATCAATTATACGCTGAAAGAGCAATGTGGCAATTGCAGTGCGGAGAAACATGTCGCCTTTTCAATGAACCAATTCAAATTACTTACGAACATATTCTCCAGGGCGTACTTGGCTAGCCAGCAGTTGAGAAAAGCTGGCACAAACACGTTACGTAGTGGCGGCCAGAACACCTGGAACAGTGGGCAGCGACTCAAAACTCAGCACGGCGCTTTAGGGCTTCATAAGTCAGTGTCGCTAATCTGATCATTTACGACTTGGCACAACGCGTCAGGAGGTTTACAACTAAGTTTAGCGCACTCAGGGAACACACTTTAGTAGAGCACATCAGGGGGTTCGCAGCACAGCACAACACATCAGGAGGTTCGCAACTCAACCCGACGCACCGGTGTTCGCGAACTGCGCATGAAGAGGTTCGAAATTCACCACAATGCACTGGTGGTTCGCTACCCAGCTCAGAAAAGTCCATCAGAGGGTTTATGACAGAATATAGCATATCAGCGGATCCACAACTCAGCACATCGTATCAGTGCTACAATGTCAGGCAGTAATTATGAAATACGTCATTCGAGCAGCCGCCGGTGCTGCTTAAGAAAAAAATGCAAAGAAATAAATCAGAGCAGTTTAGAAGCACGTCCAATAGAAACAGATGCTTGCCAGCTCTGCCGAGTTTTAAGCCAAGCTAAGACCACTCTGGACGCAGTTAAATCCGTCACTATTCGCACGGCTGAGGGCAGCTCGCGGGACACCCACGCGGCCGGAGGCGGCGCGCGGCGTCACCACCAGCGGGCAGGCAGCCGCAGAGAGCCGCGGGCGAGCCGACGGGAGTGGACGGTTTACACGCGCGGTGGAGCGCTGCGACGTTCACCGAGCGTTGCGCCCCTTGAGTCGGCGCTGTACGTGACGGAGTGGCCGGTCGGGGCCTACCTGCCGCTGGACGGCGGCACTGCCGCGCGCCGCTCGAACATCGCCAGTTGACACAAACGGACGCCAGTCGGCGCGCTAAGGCGCGGCTCGGCATCAGCGCTACTTGGACGGTGTGGCTGGGAAAAATTGAGCTAGAGGCTTTCCACAAGATTTACAGCGCAATTATTACCCTACCTCGACATTTTTTAACCGTATGCAAAATTTTGTAGTCGTGATATAAACTATCGCGTTAGCCTTTTTCGTTATAATGGGGTCATTTACGACCGGAAGCATCATAATGGGTCACAAAGTGTCCGAATCATCTCGGAATAAGCAAGTCACTTATCGCGGCGAAAATCAGGCCGTGTCCGCCTTCGAGCACGAGCCCAAATCCCCCGAACGTCCGGGCTCTCGTGGTTCGTTCCAGATGATCCCAGTGGGAAGCCAACAACGTCGGTGCGGCGCTAGAGGGGCTATCGTTCAGAGGCGTCCGAGCCAATATTGATGTATGCAGCCAATGGATACAATACAATACAATACAGTTGTTTACCTTATATTGATGTATACAAAAAACAGCTTAGATGATCATTCTTAGTTTTGCTCCAATGACATAAACAGAACGGAAGATGAGGAGAAGCCCTGGTATTTCTCCTCGCTATTGGAAGATCAACTGACCCCCACCACTGAGTTTTACAATTTTGCAACGCATGCCAGCAGTAGCTGCCTAAATTATCCATACCATTGCAACTAGAAAATAAACAAAATATGCAGTGAAGAAATTGTGAGCTGGTTTCAGGTTCTGGTTGGGGGTCTATTACGCTCCCGTCAGACACTATATTGGCCCGACATCCGTGGGCCGCCAGGGGCCCGGGAGGACTGCGATTGCCCCTCGGCACTGTTCCGCGGGGCGTCATTACCACGGTCCGAGAGAGTATGGGCTCCTAGTGAGTCCCATGGGTCGGCGCCCGGCGAGTGCGGCGGCATGGAGCGGCCCCTTGCCGCCATTGGGGCTCTCAATTCGGCCAGTAATGGACCTCGTCTTAATTCGAATTAGAGCTCTCGATGTAAATAGGGCAATAAATAATCGCAGGCCATGCAACAGGTCTCAGCGACGAGTTATAGTTGAGACAAGCCGGTGTGTAAGAAATGCGCATAACATGAGTTCTGTAGACATGTACAGAAAACATGGGCGGTGTGCGCCACTTACCGTCGCAATAAATGGTATCGTGTTCACTAGTTCAAGTATAAAATAGAAGCTCAACAGTTGCTGCCACAAGTTGCCCTGAAAAGCCAGCAGCCCATCAGATATATAAACATATTTCAAGCACCAACAACCACCGCAGGGGACAGCAGTTCAACGATACTCACATTGGAAATAGATGTGTTGACATGTTTCTTATGAGTAAAATGTGATCTCACATCAAGTTGTGGTTTATGAACAAGTAATCTCGGTCATGTTTTCCACCATATGCATCGAACATTGCGTTTTGAGAGAAGCAGTTCAGGACGGAAATTGTAAAACAAAACTTCAAATCTAAGCTAAGCATTAGTCCATTGTGGGCGTGGGAATGTGTGAAATCGGGAGTCTAGGAAGAGAGAGGAGGAGAAAGAAACAAAGAAGGGCGGGGAAAGAGACAGGAAGGGAGTCTGGAAGACGGAAATGAAGAGACAGAGACAAACGGAGAGGGTCAAAATAGAGGCAGACGAAACCCGAAACAGCTATAGAGACAAAACCGGAGACAGAGGCAGAGACAGAGACAGGGACATAGACAGAGGCAGAGACAGAGACAGAGACAGAGACAGAGACAGAGCCAGCGCGACAGGGACGGGGACAGGGACAGAGCCGTAGTCCCTGGGCTGACCTTGTATGTGAGATAGGCGAGCAGCAGCGCCTCGGAGAGGCTGATGAGGGCGAGCCCGGTCTGCGTGATCCACAGCTCCAGCCGACGGTCCACCCACCAGATCGCCGCCCAGTTAATGCTAGGGCTATCCATGAACTGCTCCTTGGTGAGGTTGCGCTGGGTTTGGAACTTGGAGCGGTTGAGCGCGTCGCATCCGTAACTGAACGGTCAGACGAGTGGGTTTGTGTCAGCATCGGCCTCAGCTAGAGGACCGACGCCAGCGACACCGACACAGACGGGACCCGGTGGTCAGAGGCGGCTCATTAGTGACAGCGACCAAGGGCGCAGCTGGGACTTTTAAGGGAGGGGTCTCCGAGGCTCGGTGAGTAGGCACTGCGCCAGTTTTACTTCTTTCGGGCTCCATCTATGGTAAAACACAAAAAATCCAAGGCTTAGGGGGGGGGGGGGCAAGGAGCTCCTTCCTTGACTGCAACCCTGGCAACGACAAGAGTTGGATGAAGACAAAATGCCAAAAAGTCACCTTAAAATTCGAATACGGTGAGCCGGGAACAGGGAAGAGTCGGTTGCAAACGCAGATCTCAACGTATAAAAAACTTCCTCTTGAAGTCTACGACATTTTTAAACAGTAAAGCTTCACTCCCAAATCCATTCACAGGATAGCACTGACGATTGGAAAGTTTGCAACAAGGACAGGATAAGCTGCAACGCTAAATTTGCCTCCGTGCATATGCAGTTCGAAGTATTCAGCTAACATATGGTCAGAGTGAGCTACATTTGCCAGGTTCCTTTTGAATTCTGGCAACATGCAGTCGTGATCGTTTACCATCGCAGACAGGCTAATGCCAAAATGCATTCATGGCGACATGGTGGTAACACCGCGGTCAGATACCCTGGCTGTACGGTCGAGAGGGAGTGATGGACATGATTTTATGGTGGCAGAGTGCGACCAGACGATTAGCTTGTAGTCATCTCTTTATGTCAACACTTTCTGGAAAATCCGTCACGTTGACAAACCTGTGACTGACTGAACAAACCTGCGATATCATCACAGTAAAACAGTGAGCGACAAATTTCTAAACCGCCGATTAAGAAGGCTTCTCGTAGAAACCTTCTGACGTGTTTAATACAGCGAAGTCCGTTAGGATGGAGCATTCCGTTGGTTTTGTCGAAATGTACAGGCAAGCTTATAGGATGGAGTATGGAGTAGTAGGAGTGGTAGTAAAATGTAGGAGGGCAGGCTTCCATGCACGAACGAGAAGCCACGTGTAACTAAGGTCGCGCTTTGTGGGTGAAGGAAAGACAAGCACGTCTTTCATTGCATAAGGCTGTGGAGTGGACAAAATGTTTCCGGTGGCGGTTTTTTCTTTCTGGCTTGCCTGGTTCTTGGGACATGGTTTTGAGCTGTGCAAAGTCTTGTCCCAGCAAATGTGGTATTCGCAAAAGGCCTGAGCGTAATTTACAACCCCCCGAATTTGAAGAAGCTGCGAACTTTGCCGTCCCATCTCATGAGAAACCTGAAGGCTGCAATCCACCACAGATGAATACGCAGGCGATCAATTATGTGGAGTTGGTGACGTCAGATGATAGCCCCCGCTGCTTTTTAGGTGCTACGTCTTCGTATCCGGTATGCCCTTAAGCTACACAAATGGACATAGACAAAATAAGGTCACCACCCTTATGCATGTGTTAATGGTACCCATGTTCAGAAGTTCTGAACGCTTAAGTGGTTCAGTACATAAATGCCAACACGACGTGCATATGTCTAGTTTTCTGAAGTTGGTGCATCAATGGCTAAGGTCTGAGACCATTAGAAGCACATATATAGTCTACCTGTCACCATGAGCAGTTCCTAAAACGCATCAAATCTTGTTATGTCCACAGTGTGCATTTACCCAATTCTGAATTAAATAATTCCGGCCTGAGATAGACTGGAGCTCATATCAACGTATGGCAAGCCTATGATACACAACACGACAGGGCACTACGCTGCTGGGCTGAGGCACTGGGCCCAAACACGAAACGCTCAAAACATTTAATTGCATGAGACCATCTTGGACTAGATATAACTAATTGCTGGTTAACTTGACCTGCACTGTGTCACTGTAGCGTACAGTTTCATCTAAAGGCATACACGTAAGCAAAATGTTCATTCAATCTCAACAAAGGGAGCGAGTAATTCTGCCTCTATGCTTTTCCAATCTCATCACCAAGGCCTCCCACTTCAGGCAGCCAAATTTGTTGTATTTTTATTATCAGTCTGACATATCCTGACCAGATGTTGACACCATGAACGACGGCGGCTCCAGGTATAGTTTATCGCAAATAGCGAAGAAAAAATCGCAAAAGAAAATAGACGAATGAACTGGCAGATTAGATCCCACCACTAAACGAGGATGTTCGACCGAAATATGCCTCCATATTATCCCATATGCGTCAGCGACCATTCGCCATGGTCGTTCAATATTTTACGTTGCCATAAACGAATGGAAAGGATATGCAATGGCGTGATGGCATGATGATATGACGTACGAGCAGTTTTCGGTGCTCAAACTAGCTTGTGATGGATTCTAACCGTTGGACTATTTCGGTTATATCTTAAACGCTTAATGCTCTCGGGGAATGCATTACCAGACATTGGCACAGAGGCTTATCCAAAAACAATATTGAACGCCTTGTCCATTGATGAAGAAATGGCTATGGCATTCAGCAATGCTGAAGTATTACACGGGCGATTGCAAGAAGCCTCAGGGCGGTGCCCGGTGGCCAAATGCAAAGGATAAGCGTTGCTTACTAGAAGTTGTACGTATTTGAATCCTGTGCAAAAAATAGCCTTCCTTTCAACAATGCTTAACTTACTTGAAATATATATATGAATATTCATTTTATTCGCACCCATTTAGCGTCAGTCGTGTCGTTGCTGTTCTGAAGGCGTCAATGCAGTCCCACCCATAACCGCTACCCCCCCTCAGCCTCGAGACGTGAGGGAGGTGCCGACGCAGTCCCACCCATAACCGCTACCCCCGTCCGCCTCGGGACATAGAGGTGCCGGCCGCCAGCTCCGTCCGACACCGCTCTCGTGCGCACTCTGAAACTAGTCAGGCCGTGCTCCCACTGGTCCTCAGCGCTTTCTCGACCTTTTCTAGTCCCATGCCATATTCGGCACGTTCGTATCAGCCGCTAAGATACCTCAAAGAGGCTTTATTTATGCATAACATTGATACTATAATAAGAACTGCAATGCTAGGATGATTTCCGATAAAGAAGCTATTCGAGGTGGCAAATTTTCGTAAGGTGGGCTGAGCAGGCCTGACCCGCCGACCGTCCGGGTGAGGCTTGCCATTTCCCCACGCCCATCTGAACAGACCTGACCCGCCGACCGTCCGGATGGGGCTTGCCATTTCCTCACGCCCGTCTGAACAGACCTGACCCGCCGACCGTCCGGGTGGGGCTTGCCATTTCCTCACGCCCGTCGGCCTTTAGACGGAGTGGAGGTGATGGCTTTTTGGCCCGTCACATCAGTGGTGACGTGACATTTGTGTTTTATCGTGGCAGCTTGCAATGCACTCATCCTGTTAGTATCCACCCTTTGTGCCATCGCCTTCTTGTATGCTGTTCGTCTGTTGACCGTTCGTTCATCTCACGCGATCTTCCATCGTTCATGAGGCACTCTTGTGGTGTAGGTGAAGGTTGTTAGAGTCAAAGCTTGTCAGTGAGATTGCATAGAATATAGAAAACACGTCATTTGTATGTTATTTGAGTTAATGAAGTATTCTAAGTTGAAAACCAACTCTGAATAGGCCTGAAAAGTGAAACGATTGTCCTGCTTTTTCCTATTTAAATATGCCCATAAAGACTTTTGGTTATTGCTCCTTTCATAATTCTGATCTTAGTTCCATGAACTGCAATTGAATTGCAGTTCATAGAGAACTAAGAATAATATATATATTATATATATATATATAATATATATAATATTGAGTATAGGCTAAGACTAAGATAATATGTATATATAATATAGAATATAAGAGCTAGAACTAAGATATCATGTATATCCTCTCTCTCTCCTCTCTCTCTCCTCTCTCTCTCTCTCTCTCTCTCTCTCTCTCTCTCTCTCTCTCTCTCCTCTCTCTCCCTCTCTCTCTCTCTCTCTCTCTCTCT